ACCTTGTTTAATGCTCGATAGTCCACGCACATTCTCAACGACCCATCGTGCTTCTTTTGGAACAACACGGCGAGCCATAAGGTGACTTGGAGGGTTGTATTTGTCCAGCCCTCCAACATGGCCTTCAACTCGCTTCCTTAATTCCTCCAACTCGAGCGAGGCCATTCGATAAGGTGCCATGGCTAGCGGTTTGGCACCCAACACCAATTCTATTTGGTGATCGATTTCTCTTTAGGTGGTAACGTTTTGGGTAACTCGGTGGCATCACATCATCAAATTCGGCCAATACATCGGCAATCTCCTCGGGTATCTCCGTGCTCTCATCTTCCACCATCCCATCTTCTCTTAAAGTTGCCAAGTATGTGACTTCCCTCTCTTGAAGCCTTTCTTTACTTGCATAGCCGATAGATGCTTCAAGTCCGATCTAGCGTGCACCTTGGCCGGCACCATGCATGGCATTTCTTCTTTCATGATCACCATTTGCTCCAAGTGAGGTGTAGGCACGGCTTTCGCTTGTTTAAAGAACTCCATGCCTAGCACAACCTTGAAGTCGTCCATTGTGATAATGGTGAAATCTAGCATCCCTTTCCATGCGCCTATGCCAAGCTTTACCCCATACGCTACGCCATAAGTAGGCTTAGGAGAAGCATTCACGGTCTTCATGCTACTTGATGACTTGGTCACCACCAAGCCAAGTCTTTTGGCCTCCTCCTCGGCCATAAAATTATGTGTGGCTCCAGGTGTCTAGCATGGCAAGCGCGGCCTTGCCATTCACGTCCACCTCCACGTACATAAGCCCATCCTTTGGTGGCACCTTAGGTGAGGGCTTGACATTCAAGGTATTGAGAAGCCGCAACGATCCCATATGCTTCTCGTGCTCGGAGGCACATTCCCTCTCCTCCACCAAGGCATCGAGGGCTTGTCGCTTCGAGCACTCTCTCCACCGATGTGACCCATTGCAAAAGTAGCAACCTTTGGGCTTGAATTCTCTCTTATCATGTTCTTTGACAAAGCTCTTGGACTTATGTGCTTTGTCTTGCCCATCTCTATACCCCTTCCTTTCATAGGCTCCCCCACCTTTGCCCTTGAAGTCTTTCTTAGGCTCGAGGGTTCCGTCCTTTTGTTATATTCAATTAGGGATTCAGCCTATGGCCCAACTTCGGTGAAGGTCTTAGGCCGTCGACCTCGCACCTCTTGTTGTGCCCATGATTGAAGTCCCTTAATAAAATCATACATATGATAATAGTCGGGTTTGCCACGTACCCGAAGTTTAAGAGAAAGATATTCTCGAACATACTCGTGAATAGTTCCCGTATGCTTCAATGTTCGTAGCTTGTCCCGTGCTTCCCAATCAACTTCCTTGGGGTAGAATTGAGCATACATGGCTTCTTTGAATTCATCCCAACTAGGCAGCTCTAGATTCCCCTCTTTGAGCTCTTGGTGCTTCATACGCCACCATAAAGCAACGATCCTCCGAAAGATAGAGGGTAGCGGTCTTGACACGACTTCTATCCTCGATCAAGCCCATTGCCTCGAAATATTGCTCCGCTTGCCAAAAGAAGTTATCCACTTCCTTGGCATCTCGCTCGCCAGCATAGTGCCTTGGTCTTGGCACTTCAACTTTTGGCGTGTCCCTTAAGACCACACCATTCGAGATAGCTTCTCGATAATTTTTCCAATCTTTTCTAAGTTGTTCAAGAGTTTGCTCATACCCGGTCATATACTCTTGATGTTGCTTGAACCTCTCCTTCGTCCATTCCATGAAGGCATCCTTTTCGGCAGCCGCTCTCTTTGGCACACCTCTCAACCGTTTCCACTCGAGCTTGGAGATTGGAGAGCACCTCACGTAGGCCTACCATGCCTAATGTCTCCCCCTCATCATCTCCTTCTATCTCCTCGAGTCTCTCCTTGAAATCGACAAGGTGTTCCTCCGCCCTCACGAGTCGCTCCTCCAAGGAGACTAATACATCACGAGACTTCCCCCTTCCTTTCTTAGGTCGAGGAGGTAGGGTCTTATTCCTAACATCCCCAACGAACATCCTCCATGCCCAAGCTAGACATCCTTACTCTCTTGAACACTTTAGCTAACGGTAAGCTTACTCACACTTTGATAAAACTCGGCTTTGATACCACTTGTCACGGACTTGGCCTTTCCCAAGCTCACGTGCGGCACTTGGCTCTCTTCTTCTCTAAGACAAACCAAGTCAGCCTTCCTCACACAAAGTTGCTAAGTAAGAAAGACACACACAAGAGATATAAAATACTCTTTGTATTGCTTTCTAAAAGCTTACAACTCTAAAGACACACTCCTTAAGTTTATGAATGTCTAGGTGTCTTGGCCAAGTGAGGGCCTCACCTATTTATAGCCTTCCACCTCCTCAATGGATGGCTAGGATCTATTTAATCTAATGGTTACAATTGGTTCTCTAGAAATATCCTATCTAGATATTTACAAGGAACTATCTAGATATACACATGCTAGATTAGTGAGGGACTCTCTAGAATTCTCTAGATCATCTTAGAGACTTCTCCAATGCTCCATATTCTTCTGAAGCTTTCGGCTTTATCTAGAGGCTTCTCCTTTGCTCCATACTCTTCTGAAGCTTCCGGACTTATCTAGAGGTTTCTTCATTGTTCCATACTCTTCTAGAAGCTTCTAGACTTATCTAGTGTTCTTTAGAATCTCTAGAAAAATCCCTCTTTTAGGCGGAGCATAACAAGAGGCTTACTTTGAGCACTCTAATTTCTTTAAAGTAACAAAGACCGGAGGCACGACCCGACCAGCTAAGGCCAGGAGCACATCACCGGTAGAAGGGATGAGGCGACCGTGCACACCCGAGGCGGACCGACCGACCCAACCCAAAGTCCAACTATGAGCTTTTTAACTGCAACAACTTAAATATATGCTATTGGAGCCGGAATTATCGTGGCCGCCGGCACCAGACTTGCCATCACCGGTTAAGGGATTTAGATTGTACTCATTCCAATGACCGTACTCGAAGAGCTCCGGTATTGTTATTTATTGTCACTACCTCCCCGTGTCGGATTGGGTAATTTGCGTGCCCGCCGCCTTCCTTGGATGTGGTAGCCGTTTCTCGTGCTCCCTCTCCGAATCTAACCCTAATTCTCCGTCACCCGTCACCACCATGGTAGGTGTCACAGGGTCAAATTTGCGTCACAATTTTAACCCAAGTACGACATCCTAGTTCCCCTAGACTTCAACCTTTTTCCTCCCAATTTACTCTCGTGTTTGGCCTCATCGACTATGGTGTTTCACACACCTAAGAGGCTTTCCCCGAAGTCCTACAAATAATAGGCAACACGCTACAATAGACAAGAATAAATCAAAGTTTGCACACAATATTATAGGAAAACTCCCAACCTTTTATTAACTCCGTAACAAAGGAAATACACTTTGATTTCAAGTGCCTCTCTATCTATCTCTCCGTGTGCACAAGCACATCCCCCTCTCCTTTTTATAACAAAGGATCATTGGAAGTTACATAGGAACTGCTATCTAACTTATCCCTATAAATCCGGACAGATTGGCTAGAGGCAAGTAACCGCCGATAACCGCCTCTTGATAACCGCCCCTTGATAACTCGCTCCTTCTAGAACTTCCTTTGGCCTCGCCACCCCACGTACCCTTTAGGCATCCGACCGAGCCCTCTCTCGCCCGTCGTATTCCCATGTAACTTGGATAGCCCTCTATCCAAGTCCGGAGTCGTGCCGAACATGAACCCGTCGTTCGCATCCTTGGCGCAACCATCGCGCCTATCCTTGGCGCACGCAACACTTACGCCTATCCTTGGCGCAACACCCGCGCCTATCCTTGGCGTAACCCCGCGCCTAGGACCGTGACAAACCACCCCCACCGTAAAGGTCCGATGCCCTCGTCGAAATTGAAGTGAGGTACTACCTGCACCTTCTCTTCAAATTGCCATAAGTCGCTGTCCTTCTCCCACGAAAGCTCTCCATTCTTAGCCCATTTTACTAAAAACTCTATTCGTCGATTCTTCTTGTGCCGACCAAATCGACGATGATCCGTAATCTTGACAATCCCATCGTCAAACCGCTTTCGAACCACTCGGGGAGCTCTTTTTGACTTGTTTCTTTCGAGTCCTCCCGATCTTCATAGTAAGGCTTCAAATAGCTCACATGAAATGTAGGGTGGAGCTTCAAGTGTTCGAGCAAAACCAACTCTATAAGCCACAACTCCCACCTTTTCTCTAATTTCGAAAGGTCCCTCATATTTTGGAATAATCCCCCGCCGCACCAATCCGCGTTGATTTTCTTCCAAATTTGAGGTGTCAATTTGAGCAACACCTTGTCGCCCACATCAAACTCTAAGTGGTCTCCTTTTCAAGTCGACATACTTCTTCACTCGCTTGCCGGCCTTCCACTAGCTATCTTGGGCTCGAGCCAACAACTCCCCGCCTCTCCAACGCAAATTGGTATGCCGCCGGACTTTTCCCACCGCATTTTTGTATCGAGATCTCTAGGGGAGTTTGGGGCCGCATCCCTAGCCCCAACTCAAACGGACTTGTCTCCGTCGCAGATGACTTGTGGAGGTTGTAGCAAAACTAAGCACTATCCAAGCAACTCTAGCCAATTTTGTTGTGTTGTTGTCACATAATGTCGTAGGTACTCCTCCAACAAAGCATTAATCCTCTTCGTCCGCCCATCAATTCGTGGATGATTGGCAGTGGAGAACTTCAACTGCGTCCCCATCATGTTAAACAAGTTTGTCCGTAATCGACCCGTGAAACGTGCATCACGATCGTTGACGATGTCCGAAGGCACCCCAAAGTACTTCACCATATTTTGGTAGAACATCCCAGCAGCCCACATCCGCTGTACAACCGAGGGAGCGGCAACAAATACCGCATATTTGGTGAATCTATCCACGACCACCATTACCGCATTCATGTTGTCTACCTTTGGAAAACCCATGATAAAATCCATCGAAACCGACACTCAAGGTTTTTCCGGAATCGACAATGGTCGAAGCAACCCCGCCTCACGTTGTCGTGAAGTCTTGTCTTGCCGACACACTAGACAAGTCTTCACAAATAGCTCCACGTCCTTATCCATCTTTGGCCAATAATAAGTCTGGGACAACAAAGCTAGCATCCTCTCCCTTCCAGGATGTCCAACCCACCGCGGATCATGTGTCTCCGACATCAAGAATTTTCGCAGCCTTCCCTTTGGCACAAAGATTCAACCTCCTTTTGCATATGGAGATCATTGTCCAGCCAATATCTCTACACTATCCCTTCTCGTACAAGACCAGCCTAACTTCTTGTACGATTCATCCTCCTTGGCGACTCGGTGAAGTCGTTCAACCATGTCCGACTCCACTCGTACAAGGGAAAAAAGGTAGCAAGCACCTCATGCCTCGCTTAGTGCATCGGCAACTTGATTATGTCGTCCCGGCTTCGTGCTCCCACACAAAGTCATACTCGCCTAGAAACTCTTGCCATCGAGCTTGCCTCCGAGATAGCTTCTTCGTGTCTTAAAGAAAGTGTTGGCCACATTATCTCGTCTTCACTATGAATCTCGACCCCAACGTATACACTCGCCACACACCCAAGCAATGGACTACCGCCGTCATTTCCTTTTCATGTGTCGAATATTTCGTTCGCCTCATTGAGCTTCCAACTTTCAAATGCAACCGGATGACCCTCCCATACCAACACCCCTCCAATGGCCCTATCCGAAGCATCGCATGCACTTCGAAAGGCCTCTCGAAGTCGCAGCCTCAACACCGGGGCCGAAGTAACAGCCTCTCTTCGCCTTGTCGAATGCTCGTTGGCACTCGTCGACCCAATTCCACCTTCTCGTCCTTCTTTAACAAATCGACAAAGGAGCCGCCACTTTGTTATATCCCTCAATAAATCGACGATAGTAGTTTGCCAACCCTAAAAAGGATCGCAACCCGTACACCGATATAGGGGCTTCCCACTCTAGGATAGCTTGTACCTTCCTTGGATCCATCCTCACTTGACCCTCACCGACCAAGTGACCTAGGAACATAATTTCAGCACATGTAAATTCACACTTTTCCCTCTTTACAAATAGCCGATGTTCCCTAAGTTTCTTTAAAACATCCGACAAATGCACTATATGGCCATTCAAGTTCCTACCGTAAACCACAATATCATCCAAATAGACCACAACACAATTATCTAGAAACTCATATGTAACATCATTCATCAAGTTACAAAATATAGCCGGAGCATTGGTTAGGCCAAATGGCATAACTAGAAACTCGTATGAACCATACCTCGTCACACAAGTCGTCTTGTGCTCATCCCCCTGCAATCCTCACTTGCCAATAACCAAACCTCAAATCTAGCTTCGTGAAGACAAGCAGCCTCCACACAACCCGTCCATCAAGTCCCGCACCAGCGGTACCGGATATTTGTTCTTTATCGTCACCTTGTTTAGTGCATGATAATCCACACACATCCGAAGACTTCCATCTGCCTTCTTTTGGAACAAAACAAGAGCACCATAAGGAGCTTTAGATGGCCGAATAAACCCAAGCACCTATTAACTCTTCCAACTCGTCTTCTCAATTCCCCCAAATCCCTCGGAGACATTCGATAAGGAGGCTACGACGGTGCCGTCGCACTAGGCACAAGTTCTATTACGTGGTCAATGGCCCTTCTCGGTGGAAGCTTTTTCGCAACTCGAAGGCATTACATCCGAGTATTCCTCCAACAAACTAGCAATGACATCCGACACTCGCTCCATCGGTCCCGAATCTTCCCCCATTGCTACCGCCAAAACCACTTCACCACCCTTCTTCAAGGCCTTATTAATTGCGATGGCCGAAATGATGCTACCGATACCCTTGCTATTTTCAGCCACCAAAGTTTTCTCACACAACACAAAATTGGGGCATGTATCGTGGGCAATCGAATTCCCCTAGATACAAGCATCGCCCTATCTTGGCCTTCTTCAAGGAGTCTAGGACAAGTATAACGTCAAAGTCGTCAAGAGCCACCACCAAGCAAGTCTTGTCTCGCCTCGCCATTTATCCAAGACAATAGGCACCTTGTACGTAGTTCCTTTGATCCGTCGTGCCTTAGCATTCACTCGCCTTCATTGTTGTGTGGTCGTTGCTCACCCGCGTACCCAACCGCATCATCAATCTATCAAGCAACAAAAGTGTTCGTAGCACTGCAATCCAACATGGCTATGATCTCTCGATCATTCACTCGATTTTCACATACATCAATGTGTCTAGAGCACCCAACTTCCCTTGTCGTAAGGCATCCAACCGCACCAAGTCGCTGCCGACAAGGTTGAATTCGTCCATCGAATCTTCTTCCATAATCGTACAATTCAACACACGCATCGGGTTAACGTGTGTGACTATTTCCTCTTGCTCACCGTCATTCACTAGAATGGCATTCAACTTCTCTCTTTTTGAACATTCTCGGGCATAATGAGATCCCCCACATATGAAATGTACTCGTATTCGGCCTAGAT